GGCAGCTCAGAATACTCCTTCCCCGAAACGTGCCAGCCCTAGAGATTGAGGGTCCTTGTATTGTTAGACAGAAAGGAGGGCATCGATGGGCTCAATCCAGAACTCCAGCAAGCCAAGTCAGGTTTGTATAACTAGAGATCTGACATACAAGCTAATGAAAGCACACGTTTAGAGAATAGAGAATTCTGTCACTTCTGTGTGATTTTGGGATCAGAGGACACCACTGTACCTGGTTGTTCCTTAGGCCCATAACTTAGGAGGGAAATATGCAAATAATGGCTACTTGATAGGAGAAAAAAGAAACCATCTGGGAAATGAGATCTGCAGTGAGCTAAAGAGAGAGCTAGTGGGAGAGCAAAGAAGTTCTTGCTCACAGACAAGGAGGAAGTGTGGGCTTACTCAGCTGCCCCTCTCCCCCTCTCTGCATCAGATAAGGAACCAGGAGATTCATGGAACTGTAATTAGGTGTATCACAAGGTAAGACCCGTCAGTGATTGTCTTAGTAAGGTTCTCAAAACTGTCATAATGAATATATCCATTAAAGGAGAATTACTAGATGCTCTTACAGGATGTGGTCCAGGTAGTCCAACAATGGCCCTCACACACTAGAGAGGCTGAGAGTTCAGTACTTATTCAGTTCATAAGACTGGATGTCTCAACAGTCTCAATTTGGCACTGGAAGCTTGGAGGATTTCTGGAGTGCTGCCGATCTTCAATCTAAAGAAATCGATTGTAATATTGGTGAAGTTTGTAATGTTGAAAAATGAGCTGTATTCTCTCATGTTAATGGGTAAAATCCGTGTCATCCATCGGGTGGTATCTATGGCAAACCTATGCTACAGCAAGCCTAACCAGGGTCTACTAAGGAGTACTAGACAGTCAAGATGTGGGATCTCTCCCTGGAAACAATCTTGTAGGGCCTTGAAGACAATGCACAAGAAACTATTAAGTTACTAATTAGATGTGGTAAGTGTAGCCTCTAGAGCCGTTTTAGAATTAGGTAAAGGAAGGAGAAATGGATGTCAGAGAAAGTAGACACACATCCTAAGCTTGACTTTGAAGAATTCGCAAGACATCACAGAACCAGAAAACAGAGACTATATTCTAAGCCACAGCATTGAATTAGCCATGGGTGGGTATTGGACAGAATGTTTTTATCTCTGCGACCAATACTTGAAACAACTCAAGGGGAGAAAGGTTCGCTTTGGCCCTTGATTACAGAGGTTTCTGTGGATGTCTGTGGAAAGGATGAAACAGAGCAGAGACATTGGTGGCCAAGAAGCAAAAAGAGAGAGAGAGAACACCTGCACCTAGTGTGTTCCCCTCTGTTTGCTTTCAATGCATCCATGCTCCCAGCCTGTGGGGTCAGTGCTGCCCACATCCGGGTTGTCTTCCCCCTTAGTTAATCCTCTGTGGAAATGCGCTTGATATGCACACCCCAGATCTGTGCTTTATTGATGACTGTGCCCAGCTGTGAAGTCCTGGGATGGTGTTGGGACCGATGGTGTGCCTTTGCCTTTCTGATCAGACCTAAGCCAGACAAAGTGTTCTTACTTCAGGCTATGATACAATAGTTCTTTCAGCAGTCTCTTTACAATATTTCAACCACAGCTCAGGGGGCCATTTTGGTTCCTGACCGGGCATTTGCAACAGAAGTCCTGACTTCTAACCATCCACACTAGGGTAACACCTAAAACCTTACCTGGGGTGAATTCAAGTACTGGCTTCTCTGGCTATGGTTGGGATGGAGGCTTTTAAATGGGATTAAATAGTCAAATGGTTTTGATAACACCATCCATCTAGTAAAACTACGGGACTGTGGGGTTTCAGAGTGAGGAGGCAGCTCAGAGTATTATTTTAATGGATTTAACAGTCCTAGCCTCCCTGGGCCATGCAAGAAACAAGCTGTACATTCCCTGCTGGTCTCTCTCTGGGGTCAGCCGGTCCCAAACTCTATCTCCAGCTGGGTCCCCATAGATCCTTCTGTCCTGTTTCGACTCCATGATGGAATGATACAGAGTATGTCCTTTGCTAGTTTCTCAGCCCACAGTAGACTTCAGAGCCCTCTGACACCCAAAACCTTGCAGATAGTAAGAAGAATGACCATAGAATCTTGTTCACTGTGTAGACCCAAGGGGCGTCTACTTGCTTAGCTACTCCCTGTACAGCCTGTGGGCTTTGCTGTCAAAAGCTGCAGCACAGCCAGGGCCAATTTTCCAATAAAACTAGTCTCAGGAAATATGCATGACACTCAAGTCCCAAGTGCACTGGCGAGTGTGTCCCTGGCAGGTGTTCCCTCTCTTCTGCTCTTTCCATTTGTGCCTCTGCCAGCAGCTTGCCTGGTGCCAGGAGGGCTACATTTAATTTTGGGTGAAAGAATGTCCATGCACATGTGTGAATGCGCCAGCCCCCAGCATGCATGCATAAATCCAGACTTAAAGAAGGTCCCCTCTGATCCACGACAGGAAGGTAGATAAAGAAAATAGAACAGCAGAGCGAGAAGCTATAGCTCAGGAGCTTCACCTAATCCTCTCTGGAGGCCCAGGTTCTGTGTTGATGGTATTCAGCGTAATTGGACATAGAGAGGAAAGTTGAGCTTTAAGTCACACGACTGGAAGACCCTTCAATCCTTTATCACCAAATAGCTGCTTTCTGTCCTCCTTTGTTCACTCTTTTAGCCACAGACTTGCTAAACCCTTCCATGACCCAGGTCCCAAGGGTTCAGGGTTAACCTGGCTCTGCCCCTTGTCCACAGTAGCCATGCATGGCGGAACAAGTGTATCTCTAGCATGTTCATTGTGCACAGTGGCCCCTGGAAGCTGGGGACAGTGTATAGCCTGAGGCTCCTATTTATCTGTTATATTGGACCTGCTGGGCTGTCCCCTCTCTCCAAGGCTGGTCGTGAGTCCAGGATACTGGAATCAAAACAGAAGAAGAAAAAAAGGAGGGAAAGAAAGCTGGGTATATTGCAAAGTGCTTTCCTATTTCTGTCTTCTGGTGCTCTTCGAATCTCTCTAGTACAAAGGGCTATTTCATTCAGTCTTACCAGGCACAGCACGCAGAGTACCAGCAAAGTAGCCAATTGGTGAAACTGAACCCAGAACTTCAGAATAATGAAGAGAATGCCTCAAAGTGCTGCCTAGACCTTTCAAGGAGTCTATGATGTCATAGTGTCATGGAAAGGCCACTTCTGATCACTGTGTGCAGGGTGTATGGACATGGTCATGTACATGTGTGAATGAGTGTGTGTGTGTACATGCCTGTGCATGCACAAGTCTGCAGAAAGCAGAAGTACAGATCAGATGTAGTTCTTGACCAATCTCCGCCTTAGTTTTTGAGACAGGATCTCTCACTGAACCCACAGCTCATTAATTTGGTAGCCTGGCTGGCCAGGAAACCCCAGGGGTCTTCCCTGAATGACATGTGCACACATTTTTATATCTGCCTTTCATGGGTGCTGGGGATCCGAACCTGGGTCCTCGTGCTTATACCGCAAGCATCTTACTCAGCCCCTCTTCTGATCGTTTTCTTTGGGTTGAGTGAGATGACCGAGGATTGTCATCTCTAGGGATAGTGGTGGGGACGGGAGGGGGCGGGGGGCTCCAACCATAAGCTATCTCTTGTTCTAACCATCCAAGCCCAGAGCTGAGCTGCCAAGGGGTGGGGCCACAGCTGAGCCAGCAGGTTGGGAGCCTCACAATCCTGAAGCAGGCCCCACAGAGCTGACTTAATCCTTTTCCCTATTTTGTGAAATTTCCCTAAATGGTGACAGTGCCATTTGCCCCTGTCCCTGCTCCATCTTCCCGGTACAAATCTTTGTCCTGCCTGGCTTGACACTCTCTGCCATATGGCAGGGCACGAGTTAAAAATCAAAACCTGCAACAAAGAACGTCCCCCCTACATTTTTTATGAGCTGTAACATCTCCTGAGAGAGCAGAGTTGTTCTTCTAACCTGCAGATTGATGACCCTACTTCCATACGGTGTCAGCTGAGGGAAGAAGCAATTAAAAGCACGCGCAGGGGGCTGCCAGGTTTTGCCTCAAGAGCTTCATCTCCAGCCTTGGCTTCAGCAGTTGCCCCAAGCCCTAAGAAGACCCCAGAAGTTTCATCAGGGCCAGTGGGGACCCCACAGTAACCAAACAGATGACAAATCAGAATGGAGTGACTCCTACAAGGCTGTGGCCATCTGCAGGAGTTTGGCTCCTGTCCTGTGCTAAGCTCAGCTCGGGTGCTGCTCATAGGGGCCCCTGAGAATCATCCCTGCAGCCAACCAGACCAAAAGCTCAATGTTTTTTTGTTCATTGTTCTGAGTCACCTGGTGACCAGCAGAGGGCACAGACACACTTCCTTCTGCCAAGGAATTCACTTTTTCTCTGGGAACAAGCCCAGGGCTGTGTTGTATAGCCTCTGAACATTCTAGTTTGTGAAAAGACTGGTAAGCTGGTAAGTATGGAGGTGTATGGACCTCCTGATGGAACGGAAAATGATCGATGGCTCATGGCTTCTCCTGCTCTAGCCAGTCTAGAAGAGAAACACCCCATTGCTTGTCCGCATCTAGGGAGAAAGGGAGCAAGTAAGGCAGTCCCGGACCATCCTCCAGCCCCATGGACCCCAGATGCTTTACCCTAGTGCTTTTGGAACAAGCTGCCCTCCTCCAAGACCAGTTTCCTCTCCTGCATTCACTTCTGAGCCATGAACACAGATCAAATGCCAGCACAACACCACCTCTTGCTGCTCTGACAACTGGCAGTGGCTAGGGGAGAGGCAGGGCAGGTGGTCTCCGAGCACCCTGGAGCCACTGTGCCCTGCCAGTCCCTAAGGCTCTCCGCTCCAGCTGAGGGCTTAGTGCAGGATGGCTGCATTTGATGGAGCCGCTGGCATTTGATGGCTAACCGCTTCCTCAGTGGAGCGGCACCTGCAGGCTTTTGATAAGAGCAGCCATTTCGATATCCTCAGTGGGCCACCCACCCACAGAGGACACAGAGACAGAAGCTTTTGTGGCCCTTTGGCGGTGGGAGGGCAGGGAGGGGCTTGGCCTGAGCTCCCAGTTCAGTTCAGACTGGCAGGGCAAGAAGATGGCAAGCACAAACCACAGCCTGTTCTGCATTTCAAATCACCAAAAGGTTCCTCCAAGCCAAGATGGTAAACACATACGAGGTGTCAGGATGCTGTTGTGACAACGTTTTCGCTGTCACCTAGGAGAGACAAGGTAGGTCATCTCCAAAGCAGACAGAAGGCTGGGCTGAGTCCTATGTACACAGGAAGAGAAAGCTGTCCAGAGAATGTCACTCTTACACACTATGTGCCCTCCCCATCCCCTTCTCGCTCTTCTCCTCCCCCCGCCCCCACCTTGCCTCTCCTGTAACATGCCTGCTATTTTGCCTTGTGCTTTTATAAACCAAAAATTCTCAACTTTAATTGATGGAGGAACTCTTTTGGTGTTTTCAATGTAAAAACATATTCGATTTGATTCTGAAATTTGCTCTGACAGTCTCTCTGGTCCTTCTGTATACTCAGAAGAGGGATGTGCCATACAGTTCCTCTCACATCCTTCTGCAAAGGGCATCCTGAAGCCCCAGGAACTACAGAGGTCTACAGAACCTTTCCATGGGGTCTCCATGGCTCCCCACACAGCAGACCAGACTAGCAAGGGACAGATGGTAAAAGGTGACCTCCCAGGTGACACTGATGGAGGAAGCAAACAAAAAAAAAATCACCCATGGGCCAACTATTTGTGTGAGAAGTCACAGAAGCCCCACAGGTGCAGGAAGAAATATGACCCAGAAGGCTGTCCACAGCCGGAGACTTGGCCCAGAGGCGACTCTATGCTTCTTTACCCACCCAGTAGATCCCATAAAGCTCCCTGACTTCTCTCCCTGGGGGCCAGAAGGGAAGGACCTGAACTCCAAGGAGGGCAGCTGTTAAAAGGCAGGAGATGAAGCAGAGCTTCCATGAGAGCCAGGCAGTTTTTCCCCTGAGCACCGTTGGGGGAAGAGTTGAAATCCTAAGAGCTCAGGTGGGAGGTGGTGACTGGAAGCTGTCGCTTGCCTGTCCCTTAACTCCCACCCAGGGGCCTGGAAACATTCCAGAGTTAAGTGTGAATGGGAACTCATCCAGAGTTCTTTCCCCTTCACCCACTTTGTACCCATTTCCCAAATGATCAAAGACTACCTGGAACAGTACAATTCCAGACAGCAGCATAGCCAGGCTGAGAACAGAACTGAATTCCCCGTTTTCCTGATAGAGGGGTGTCCTTATTTTCTTTGCCTTCTTGGCTCTTCAGGTTCGGGGTAGGGGGAAAGGGTCTTTTTAAAGAGATCATTCAATTCCTAAAGGGCAGACTGGGAAAGTTGGAGATATCCTGGAAACAAACACACAGTGTCCCAACGTTCCTAGAAGAAATTGGGCTGTATTATTTAGGTCTGCCACTGGGTGGCGCCTTTGGGCCACACATCTGTGAGCAGGGGAAAACCACGCAAACTATTTAAAAAATAAAATAACTAATACCACTAATAAGCAACCCCATCTTACTTTGGGTGGAATCTGATGGCCGATTGAATGTACTTTCCACCTTATACCTCATCTGAGTTCGTCTTCCCCAGCACTGACGAGACTATGTCTGTGTTTATTGCCTGTGGCTGTATACACCACACAGTGGTGGACCCTTCATTATCTCACTGAGGACACTGGCCTGTCCCCTTTGCAGGGGAGAATGTGCTACCCAGCGCTGGGTCCCACTGATAGAATGCCCTGGGGGGATCCTGGGGTGGGGGGAGGGGGAGGTTGATGGTGCTGGGAGCTGCTTTGACTCTGTTGATTAAACCTCTCATACCAGGCTGTCAATAGCTCCCTGGCAGATGCTGAAAGATTATGGGGAAGCAATTGGAAATGAGGGGCCATATTTTCCTCTCATACTCCCTAAAATATCTTTTGGTAGAGATGCCTCTTCAGCTTTCTTTCAGACAAATCCTCTCTAAACTGTTTATTGAAGACCTACTAGGTGCCCAGCACCATGTTAAGAACTGACACGCATGTCCTCCCCAATTTGTTCCTCTCTAACAGGAGTGGCTGACTCGTTCTAGACAAAATGTCTTTTATAATTTCAGGGTTCTGCCTGCTTTGGTGACATGTTCCTTTTAAAAACTTTTTACTTTATTAATTTTATTCATGTGTATGTGTAGACGCCTGCCTGTCTGTATGTGCACCACATGCATGCAGTACCTCTGGAGGCCAGAAGAGGGAGTTGGATGCCCTAGAACTAGAGTTACAGGCAATTGTGATGCCCAGTGTGATGCTGGAAACGGGACCCAAGAAGAGCAGCGAGTGCTTTTAACTGCTGAGTGGATTCTTTAACCTCCTTTTCCTTATTTTGATGTCCCTAAATGACCCCAGCCAGATTTGACAAAGAGACTCCCATTATGAAGAGACCTGCATGAAGAGTAGTTGGTTTTTTCAACCAAGCAGAATTTTTATTTTTCAGGAACATTCGACAATCTCTGGAGATACTTGCCAGTTGCTGTAGCTTAAAAGATATGGCCGATGCCCAGCGGGCCATGGGGAGGGGCACATGAATGGCTGCTTAGTGTTCTATGAGGCAGCCCCTGACACCAAACAGGAACTCCCCGGCCTGAATGGCTATTGTGCTCTCGGGTTAAGAAATCTCTGTGCAGAGGCAAGAGAACATCTTGCTGGTCCCTGGAAGCTCACATCGTCTTACATGCAGTTTTAGTCCGCCTTCATCCGTACACCCTGTACTTTTAGCAGTCCCGTGGAACTCACATGTGGCACCAAGGCAGGCAGGGGAATACACAGCATCCGCTCTGGAACCATCTCCAGCAGAGTCCAAATAGAACTGACTGCGTTTCTGCTTTCACTCCAGGTTCTGGCTGGCCGTCCAAGATCTCAAGAAGCAACCTCTACAGGATGTGGCTAAGAGGGTGGAGGAAATCTGGCAAGAGTTTCTAGCTCCCGGAGCCCCCAGTGCAATCAACTTGGATTCTCACAGCTATGAGATAACCAGTCAGAATGTCAAAGATGGAGGGAGATACACATTTGAAGACGCCCAGGTTTGCTCATTGACCCAAATTATTATCATAAGGCATTCCTTAATCACTTTACAACTTGACCGTTTAATACAAGTCAGAGGTTTTACAAGTAGCTAGAAGACCAGCTTTTATTATTTATAAGTCTGTCAGTAGACTATTCCAGATAGGTATACCGTGAAATTCCAAAACCTTCTTCTTGGGTTGCATTACTTCACAGATACAGAAAAGAACTTGTAGTTCTTCAAGATGAGATGCTAACTGGAACTGCACCCTAGTAAACCCATCGTGAGTTGAAATAGCTTATTAAAATGTACTCACTACACACATCAAAGCTTCTCGTTCTCAGAACACTCAGGGATCTGCCCTTTCCCTCAGGAGCCCAGGCTGACTGGGAGCTTCAGTTCACTCACTACCCAGTGTCTAGAAGCGGGATTATACCGAGTAGCACTAGTCAGGGAACGATCCAGACCTGAAGTCTATTGAGTGCCCAGTGTGTATGCACGGTTGTAACTTCAGAGTACTGTAAATCAAGCCGCTATGTGTTGTAGGACCATTTGTATCTGCCTTATCTTTTCTCGAAAAAAAAAGTGATTTACAGAATTTTACAAAATCTAAACCCGTCTACGAGGTCAGGAGTAGACTGAAAACAGTAATATGACATCATTAAAGTGGGAATTGTGAGCTGGCTGGGTCAAGAATCAAATCCACACCTGTCCAGCTGTGATGCCCACACTTTGCCCTGCCTTCATGGTGACTGTCCCCATGAAGTTAGCGTTTCCTGAGCGGCTCTGTATTCCGGGAACTGAATAATGGTGAGACACCACAAAGAGCAGATGAAAGCCCCTGTCTTCAGCAAGACTCAGGTGAGAGAGACAGAAATCAGAAGACCATTTCAACTGTGTGAAAAGACCGCAAAGGAGTGAGCTCTGGGGTTAAATGAAGACCACAGGAAGGATTCCACCCCACAGGGCATTATCAGGATGCTTACAGATGCTATAGGCAGAGAATTCGTATGACTTGCCCTGCCATTACCATCCTATCTAGGATAGTCTACACAGCTATACCAAAGCAAACAATGACATGAGGCCATGACAGTGTCCCTTGTCACTCACTCAAGATTTCAGACCGAAAACAGCTCCTCACTCACCCTTTTTCTCCCCCATCTTGGAGTCCGCTGAATGCCCCTGTTGGACAGATTTGACTCAGTCTCCACCCACTGACATCATGAAGCCCTCATGGTCTTTATAGCTTTGGAGAAAAATCCTTAAGTCACAAGGACTCCTTTTATCCCCTGCCATATTTTTGTATATGCTCTCAAGGACAATATTGATGTGACCCAGTAAGGAGGCGGGTGGGGAAGCTCTTTGGGGCACCCCTGTGCAGGTGGCCTGAAACACAGAGGCAACATGAGGGTGTAAGGTTATGAAACCTCAGAAAGACACACTGGCCAAGCCATGATGTCCTAGTCTCTGTGACACCAGGGAGGGTTTACTTTAGCATTTCCTCGTGGAAACTCTCAAACATAAATGAGGGGAAAGAGCAGAAACACAAACCTTTATGAGCCTTCCTCCAGCCTCAAAGGTCGTCAGTATGTCAGTGATCTCCTTTTCACTGTGTCCCTGCCTACATTTTTACCTGCTGCCCTGTAAGGAGAATACCCTTTTTTTTTGTTTTAACATTGCCACAATATCATTATCACAATTTAATAAAATGTCAATAACTCCTTAATACCATCAGACAAGTGTATGTACTTTTAATAGTCCCATAAATAATTTTTTAAAACACCATTTAAAAATTAGATTCCAAATAAGGGCTGCATAGTGCTATAAACCAACATGTGTGTTCTTAAATTATACTTTAATTATCTTTCTCCCCTCTCCAACCCCTGTGCATATTTGATGAAGTCAGGCCACCCCTCCTCGTTCCCCTCCTCCCCTCCTCCCTCCTCTGTGGATATTGGACGAAGTTAAATGTTTCATCCTGTGAAGGTTTTAGTCTGGATCTTTCTGGTGATGGCCCTGTGGTGCACACAACATGTTCTTCTGTCACCCATATTTCCTATCAGTTGGGTGTTTGACTTTGACATTTAATTAGGTTTAGCTTTGACTTTTGTAGACTTTATTGTGCTGTCCTGTCACAAGGCATGCAATGATGTCTCTGTCTCTCTCTCTCTCTCTCTCTCTCTCTCTCTCTCTCTCTCTCTCTCTCTCTCCCTGTCTCTTTCTCTCTCTGTGTATGTATGTGTGTGTGTGTGTGTGTGTGTGTGTGTGTGTGTGTGTGTCTGTCTGTCTGTCTGTCTGTGTGTCGGTGTGATATCTTAGCCATTGCTGGTGTTTCTTGCTGCACAGCATTAGTTAATTGGGGTAGTGAAATCCTGATGTTCTCATTTTAGCCTTTGTTCCTTGTTGATGATCTGCAAGGCTTCCAGCAGAAGGACTTCTTTCAACTGCTGGTCCATTACCTACTATTGCAGTTCATGTAAGAAGGCAGGAGAACACTTGATTCTTTCTTTGTTGCTGGTTTCTAGTACAGTGAGTGATCTGGTGTCACCTTCATTTGGTGGCTAATGGGAGGTTTGGTTTTGCTTTCAGTGTTTTTTAAACTCACGAGTTTTAAACACATTTAATATGTTTTATGATCTATTTTACTGATTGTCTTTATTGATGCATGAGTTTTACCATGTCTAGCCAGTCGATTCCTTCCGATGTAACCTCATTAATCTTTGATGTCATCCAACTATCGAGGAAACACCATGGTCTGTCCTGGACCTGGAAAAAGCCTTGTCACTGAGGACCCCTGATTCTTCTTAGCAGCAAATGCTTAGTGCTCGTGGTCCCTGGTTTGTTTGTTTCTCAGTGGTTTTAGTGGGCAGAGCTAGAAAATAAATTGTAATGTATAATAAGGATACATTTAGCTGGGCACATTTGTAGATCCAGAAACTGGGAGCCTGAAGCAGGGAGATAGTTGAGAGTTTGAGGCCATCCCACCATCCCACCTCTCCCACCCCATCTAGTGTGTATGTGCATGCGTGAGTGTGCGTGCGTGCGTGTGTGTGCGTGTGTGTGTGTGTGTGTGTGTGTGTAGGGAGATTTGATGAGAGAACTTGAAAAATAAGTATGTGATACCTTGATAAGATATCGAGTACCTGGCTTTCGTGAGTACAGTTCTGTGTGATCTTTCAGGTACTTCCAAATGCATTGTGTCCCAGGCAAGCCTGTGAGGTAGACTAGACAGGAAGATGTATCTAGACCTAACTTCTATAAACTTAAATAAATCTCTCTTCCTGAGCCAGGTCCCACTCTTAGCCTCTTTGCCTCTTCTCTGTTGCTCACATGTAAGTGTGTTTCCTCATATAAAAACACAGTCCTCCTAGCAGCCTTACTTTGGGAATGTCACCTAAAGTTCTGGCTAGTTTTACATCAACTTGACACAAGCTAGAATCATTTAGGAAGAGGGAACCTCAAGTTGAGAAAATGTCCCTACCAGGTGGACCTGTAGAACCTTTTTTTGATTGATGATTGATGTGAGAGGACCCAGCCCATTGCGGGTGGCGTCATCCCAGGCACATGAGCCTGAGGTGTATGAGGAAGCAGGCTGAGCAAGCCATAAGAAGCAAGCCAGTAACTCCCACAACTCCACCCTTAAGTGCTTCCTTTCCTGCCTCCAAGTTCTTGCCATGAGTTCCTGCCCTGGCTTCCTTCAGTGATGGAACGTTCCCTGAGAGATGTAAGATGAAACTAACCATCTTCCTCCCCAGGTGACTTTGGTAACAGTGTTTTATCACAATAATAGAAACAATAACTAACACACCAAAATTCCTTAAGTCTTCCTTCCCTCTCCTGTAGAGTGGAGATATAGCAGACCTTCCACCTGGGGTGAGAGGTGACAGAATGAAAAGAGCCAGATGACCACAGCGACTGGCCCACAGAAAGAGAAGAAAACATTTACTATTTTATTTTCCTAATGGCATAAGCGTGCTTTGTTCTTTTATGCTAAGTACATTTGACAAGTTTCACATATTTCCACAAGTTAGCACACAGAGATAACCCCTCTTTCAGTAATACAGATGTTCCTTGGCTTATGATGGGCTATACTCCAATCAACTTACCATAAGTTGAAAATAGCCTTAAGTCAAAAGACGCATTTAATACACTTCACCGACCCAGTGTCCAGTCTGGGTGCTGTGGAACACTGGTGAACATTTCCTGTCTTGGGGTCTTGTGGCTGAGCTTTGGCTGTAGCTTCTGCCCCTGCTACCCAGCATCAGGAAAGATTACTTGTAATGTTGCCAGGCTGAGGGATGATCAAAGCTCAACATATAGTTTGTATGAGATACATGTAGCTTTTGCACAACTTTGAAGTTGAAGAAATGTAAATCAGATTATCCCTCAGAACTACTGTCACCACTTAGGAGCCACCTGTACCTTCCTTCCTCAGTGTGTTAGGTCTGCTCAGGCTGCAGGCTGTGACACAATGTTAGCCTGGGTGACTGAGGGAGTGTTTGGTCTTCTGGGTCCTGAGGCTGGGAACTCTGGGGTTTAAGTGCCTGCAGATGGGTTTCCTGGTGCTGACCTTGTCCTGGCTTCTGGATAGCCGCCATCTTGTTGTGTCCCAACCTTCAAGTAGTTTGGTATCTTCATTTTATAAGAACTCCAACACTATCATGGGGCTTCACCCCCATGACCTCATCTAAACAGCATCGTATCTCGAAGGCTTCACCTTCATCCATCACCATGATGTGAGGAGACAGACCTTCAAGGGCATGAGCTTTAGAGGGATACAAACTTAGTCCGTAACAGGGTAATTATGAAAATACGGTGACTCTTTTACATTAAATAAGAGAGCAGTTAGAGAGCTAAACTTTCCATGTGAAGGACTATATAATATAAACTTTAGGTTTGCGGAACACATGGTCTGTGTTACAATGGTGATGTCACAATGGGGAAAAAAAAGATCTGATGGATGGGGCTGTGTCCCCAAAAGTGTGTATGTTGACAATGAAATTCAACTCATACTTTTTC